TTGTAAAGGTCCTTAACCTCCATTCACACCAAGAACCGGCTGACCTGGCTTTCTCAAAAAACAATGTGCATCAGATCAAAGCATCCACTAAACAAATAAAATGTAAATGCACTGTCGTGTTTTGAAGGGTGCTTGAATTTGATTTTTCCGTCAGGTTCAGGTGTCTGATTCTGCCCTGTGATTGATTCTGAGAGAAGGACCGGCTGTTTAATTAAGCGGTTTAGATTCGGCAAAGAAGAAATGAACAAAAAGTAATGAGAGGCAGAGGATGATGCGCTTAGGGAGTAAACAAAGGAATCCACGTCCAGTCTGTTGGAGGGAGGGAAAGCAGGCGGATTGCATTTCGAGGACAGATCAGAACGTACCAGCGCCTTGCTCTCTGTAAAGGAACAGCATGTGTGAGTGAAGAGGCCCAGAGTCTTATTAGCCATCCATCCTGCCCCCCACCCGGACCCCTCACAAACCAAGGCTATCACAGGAGGGTGAAAGGCGAAAATAAGCGGAGGATGGTAAGTGTGGGGAGTCGTGGGCTAAAGACCCTGGCCTTACAGTCAGGATGATCACAGGCCCTGTTTTTAATTTTTATTATACAGATCAGAACCATGTGGTTCTGTATCGACCATATGCAGGAACACTCCTACACCAACATGGGTTTCTCCTCTGCCAGTGAGTCACTACATCACTAATTGATAGCCAACGGTAAACCCACATTGCAGGAGAGGAAACATTTGCGATGCACGCCCCAGCCCGCGCACATGCACGCCCCAGCCCGCGCACATGCACGCCCCAGCCAGCGCACATGCACGCCCCCAGCCCGCGCACATGCACGCCCCAGCCAGCGCACATGCACGCCCCAGCCCGCGCACATGCACGGCGCCCAGCCTGAGAAATAAATCACTTATCAACGGCGTCTCTCTGACGGCAGCATCTCGCCTTCATGTCCCGCGTGCCGCCACCCGGCTGCTTACGGAGGCCACGCTTTTTAATGGGCTAATTTGGAGCTGAGTAGCGTAAATTATAGAGAATGACAGGAGTGTGGAAGAGTGCGCAGCTTTTCCGTGACCCCCCCCGCCTTACTCCCTGTGATGGTAAAAATCTCCGGCTGGAATAACAATTGAATCGAGGTCCTCCTTTCTGAAGCTACCTAGACAGATAGCCGTATGGATATCGAGTAGCAAAGCCTAGCGGTGGATTTCAAAGCTGCACCCAGATGTGCATCTTGACCTGTTGGTAGAAAGACAGAGAAAGGATGCCTTGAATTTGAACTCTTCCATAAAACAAAAAAAATACTAAAAACTACTATCACAATCTAGAGATAAAAGTTAAATTCATCGCATTCTTTTTCTTTCTGGTCAAGGGTCATCCTGGAGATTTGATTTCATTGTGCAATTAAGCGTAATCTATATATGATGAAACCTGTAGGACAGAGAATACCGCACCTATTGTGGCATGACAACTGGACTGTAGGACAGGAAGTGACATGGGATGGGCCCGGACCTGTATGACATGGCCTCCGTCTGCTTATTTTAGATGTTGCGTATGTAGTCAGTTATGTTACCAAGGAAAGGTGCACAATGACCACCCACACAGGTCACCGAGACCTCAGTCATCTCAATCATCTCAATCTGATTGAGATGGCTACTTCTGGCTACTTGTGCGACTGTTGCACAGCCACACAAGTAGCCAGAAATCGCACCCGATACTCAGAGGGCTCCCGGTTCATCCTCTTAACTAATCCTTCCGCTGGATACCCAGCTAAGCGATTCGGATTAAGCATCAAGCAGAAGAATAGCAAGCGTAACATGCGCCTTTGAACCGGTGAGTCACATGCCACCCGTCAGCCACTGCAGCGTGCCCCCCTGCCCCGCCCTCACAATGTCTAGGGGGAAGTTTTCATTAAAACCAGATTCTTTGGATGATACATCATCTTGTTCTTCTCTGTCTCTCTCTGAAATCACCCACATAGTAACCAGCGGAGATATTCCCCCGGACCAGCAGGAGGCGCTGTTTGTATGTATCCAACATTTCCTGTCTTTGCGGGTGAATGTAGTCCTTTGACAGGTAACAACAGGCCACCTCACCCACATGGAGAAACACAAATGTTCTGCAGAAGACCTGTGAGGGAATATACGCCTCATAGCATGATACTGGCAGCCTGGCAGAAGCTTACAGCGATCGTGACCGATGTGTGTGAGACTCAGAGCTCAGGACAGAACCACATGACATGGGGGGGGGGGGGGGGCTATATTTGGGTAGAGGTGTGGAGACAGGGAAAAAACAAACAAATGGCAAGGGAGATGATACAGGAAGATTAAATGAGCATCAGGTCCCAGAAGGTGTGCAGTGGGGTTTGGGGGAGGTGTTAGGGTCACGGTTCATGGAGGAGGATGAATGAATGGGTGATGAAGTTCCTTGTCATCCAGCTTTGCTCCTCCTGTGGTATTCTCAGTAGGGATATGTACAATATGAAACACATTAGACTAAAATTACTCTGTAATGATGGCTGTAAAACCCACTGTGTGTGGGATTGCAGTGCTCTGATAATCATAGTGTCTATTGATTCCTGCAAGTTAAAAATAAAATGTGCTCCTGAATTATAACATATACAGTACTGTGCAAAAGTCTTAGGCAACTAAAGAAAATGATGTTTAAATGATCTTTATGTTGATGTAAAACTATGATGTTATGCCTGTTAAAGTGTGTTAGCGTAGTCATTTCAAACCTTCTGCTAAAATCACCTCATTATTTCCACCATCCAGTGTATTCCTGTTTTAGTTTTGACTCGACCACTAGCAAACTAAGTTAACCAAAGCGGTGTTTATCTAGCCATCCAGCAAGATATCAGTAACAATGAGTTTTTATTGTGTAGCTCTTATTTTGCTGACATATGTTCTAATGTTAAATTGTGTTTTTTTTTTTGTTCTGAGCAAATGTGCACTTACTACCCAGATAATTAGATTTAAACATTTCTTTTGACTTTCGCACAGCACTGTATTTAACAAATGAAATGGCTAACCTCATACTGCGCGAAAATGAGGATTCCACCAAATTGCCTTTTTCTGTGGTGTCAGAGAAATACATAGTTATACAGAACAGGAAATTCCTGAAATATGTCAGTTTGAAGCTTGTGGGGTGTGAATCAGTTCATCACCTTCCTGCCCATTTTTCTAGTCATTTCTCCTGAAAGATGAGTGAATCGAAACAAAAAAAGGAAAAAAAATGAATTCAAATAGTGATAATGAACCATTCCAGCACTGAATCAGATTTTACCAGGATACAGGATATGAATGGAGATTGCCGGAAGTCGGCAGCATCAGGGATTCTGTCAGGATGCATTTAAGTTTTTAAAAAAAAAAAAAAAAAAAGTGTATGAGGACTCCCATTCATAAAAACAGGCACTGTATGAGTTAATCTCGTGGAAAGCTTCACATTAGAAATGCATCTCTAATCATCTTCTTTACTAGCAATCAGCTGCACCCAATGTCACATCTCAGTTTCTGACACAATCTGTGGGATTAATCACCATGCACTCACTATCTATGATAAGGACGTGCAATCAGACATGACTGATGAGTGATGCATGTCTATGGCACATAAACAACGATCCCGCAATTCAAAGTTACGGAGCGATAAATGCGGACATGGAGATGGTGTGAAGGACAGTGGAGAATCAAGGAGTCTCGCAGGGCGGCCATTCACACATGACAAGACACGACAGGCAGCCGTGTTCCGGATGGTGTCTTAAGCGGGAGCGCTCATCAGGAGTGTTTGACTGTCCCCATGTCAGATCAAGGCTCCCTAGATCAAGACTGAGAGGTCCAGACATGACGGCAAACAGAATCGTGAGAGAGGAAGGGACAGGAATTTCACTGTGGTTTGGGTTTGTCCAAAACGGCGTGGAGGATGGACAAGAAGTTGTGGCAACAGCAAGATAGAGAAATCTGGGTTGCACGACTCACTGGCACAAACACTTTACTTTAGAGGGCACAAATAATAAAGTATTATGCTATTACTTATGTAGTAATTAACCATAAATGAAGTCTTAGTTACATACTGATCTCATGTCAATTCAACATTAATGAATCGTGATGTGTTAGACCTCAAGCAGTTACTATTCGTTACTATATCTGTTAATTCCTTAACCCTTTATGAACTACTGAAGGAACAGGTAATGAACACAATACTGATCTCATGTTTATCATTAATGAATTGTGACATCTTTTATTCATAATTTGTACTTCAGTAGTAACCGAGTGATTTAAGGCCAATAGGATGTTGGGGTATATCTCCAGGTGTGTGGAGTTTAAGTCAAGGGAGGTAATGCTAAGATTATACAATTATACAATATTGTGTGCAGGTTTGGTCACCATATCTTAAAAAGGACATTGCGGCCTTAGAAAAGGTGCAGCGTAGGGCCACAAGAATGATTCCTGGTCTTAGAGGAATGTCATACGAGGAAAGGTTAGTTGAGCTAAATCTGTTCAGCCTCTAGCAAAGGAGACTGAGGGGGGACATGATCCAGGTCTATAAGATTCTAACAGGTTTGGATGCTGTTCAACCGAATAGTTACTTCAGCATTAGTTCAAATACAAGAACTCGTGGCCATAGGTGGAAATTAGCGGGAGAACATTTCAAACTGGATTTAAGGAAGCACTTCTTTACACAGCGTGTAGTCAGAGTATGGAATAGTCTTCCTGATAATGTAGTGCAAGCTGAATCCTTGGGTTCCTTTAAATCAGATCTAGATAAGATTTTAACAACTCTGAGCTATTAGTTAAGTTCTCCCCAAGCGAGCTCGATGGGTCGAATGGCCTCCTCTCGTTTGTATAGTTCTTATGTTCTACCTGAATTATTTTACATGCCTTGCAGTGGAAATTGAACCCAGAGGACCTACAGGTCAGGCTCTGGGTTTCAGCCCCTGACAGTGTGGTGTGGCAGATTCTGTACACAGGATGTAGCTGAATTAGTATTGCACACCACTCATGGAACATGACCAACGATTTTGCCTTAGGAGCACAAAAATATTTTTAATTTTTCTGTTATGTAAGTTTCAAATTAATAAATACATAAAAATCCTCTATTGCAAACCTCTAAAAACATTACCCCCAGACCAATGTTACATGGATTTTTAAAAAGACAGTTGACTCATTTTTTGTCTTCGCCTGACATCTAGTGGCAAGACAAGGACAAGACATATTTCCTTTATTAATTTAAAATAACATGACATAGGAGGTTTGCTTTGAATCTTAAGTGGAGGGGCAGAATTATTTTGCATATATATTTACCTCACAGCATCTGGAATGAGGTCAAACAAGTAAACATTACTCAACATTAAATAGTAACTTCAAAGATGCACAAATCTTGGAGCTTATTCTGTGCTTCATAATTTATTCAAGAAATATCTACATGAAGACATGATTGACATGATATATATAAAATATATACAGAGCAATCAACCAGGACAATATAAATCTTGAGTGTTACTGGCTCAGAATGGCCAATGACATCAGCGGGGTCTTCGGCAGTGACATGGGAACATCCCCAATGGTCACGGGCAGACAGGCAGCAGCGAGTGGTGGTGGTGGGGGGGGGTTACAGATCGAGGGTTAGGACACACTGCAGGTGGACTGTTTGGTATCTCTTGTCTGCGGAAACGGCTTAGCAAACCCATATGAGCAAATCACACAAAGCAAACTCAGAACATGGTGCAATGAAAACCATGTCAGGCCTACATTAGCCAGCCCATGGCATATTACAGACCGCCTACATCATGGAGAGGCAGGCCTACATTAGCCAGCCCATGGCATATTACAGACCGCCTACATCATGGAGAGGCAGGCCTACATTAGCCAGCCCATGGCATATTACAGACCGCCTACATCATGGAGAGGCAGGCCTATATTAGCCAGCCCTGCCAACTTGGGGATCAGCACCCATTTGGGCTGCTGTTCTCTGCCAGATAACACTGCAGTCTGCATGCGTCTCTGTGATCCTGGGAGTTATGGTAATTAAACGATCTAAAGATTCACTTACACATCAGGCAGCATCTACAGCCTGTTACCAACATAAGTGCGTGTGACTAATGGACTCCATTACCGTCTTTTTACTTTTTTTACTCTTTCTATTCTCCTTAACAGAAAGTACCGATGTTTATATTAGCACACACATTTAGCGATGCCTGAGCTGTGAGAAGGACTTTGAAGTTAAATAACGAAGGGAGGCTGGCTGAGGCCCAAGTACCTAGGCGATGTCCCGTTAGCATGCTACAGACTTCTAAGGGTTCCGGGTACCTGTTGTCTCTGCTGCTGGAGCCTGAACTCCTGCTCACTAACAGAGAGGGCCTGAGCCAAAGCAAGATCCTCCTGCTCCTGAGGACTGAAAGCCAAACAAGGGACGACATGTTAACCAAGATCATCACACAAGACTGACATCACACTGTAAACCAATTGCACTGTCAAAGTATTACTCTGATAAATGACATGTAAATACTAGATGGAGTTCACGCCATCATACGGTCAGAGGTGCACAGCGGAGACGGACCATGATTCCGCCCACATAAAGGCCAAAAGAGACGTGAAATCCACCCACCACATCCTCAGTATGGTCAGCATATTGATATTAAATGTTCCAATTATAGTATATGGGGAGAGGGGGGAGACAGCCAGAGAGGGGGGAGACAGCCAGAGAGGGGGGAGACAGCCAGAGAGGGGGGAGACAGCCAGAGAGGGGGGAGACAGCCAGAGAGGGGGGAGACAGACCATGGCCAACAGCTAATCAGGACAATACAGCAGGAAGACTGTTGTTTAAGGACAGACTAGCAACCCTGTTCTGCTGATATTTGAATAAAGTTGCTTTGGGTAAAATACAATCAGCAATGCAGTACTGAAAACGACTAGGAGGAGGTCTGAGGTGGGTCAGTCACCTGAGCGCCGGCCGGGAGCTGGGCGCGGATTCTGCCAGAGACATCTCCAGCGCCCTCTGCAGGGCCTGCTCCTCGGTCTGAGGAAAACAAAACAGAAATAGCACGGACAAGCTTCATCACAACAGTGGAGTAAGCGGGCTGGGCCAGTGACCCTACCACCCCTGCCATCGCGGCATCACCATGGATACGGACAAAAGGGGCACCTCGCATGACTAGGAGACAAAATCTCTGCTGCCCGTTAGATGATCAGGTGTACATTGTGCAGCAGGACACCCATCGTCTGATACATTTACCGACATACCAGCAACTTCGTTCATCTCCCACAGGTCTCCTTTCTGTACGGCTCTACAACCGAGAAACTGCTTTCTAGTACATTCACAAGCTCACTCAACATGAAAATCGATTTTCCCCCTGAAGCTGCCGTTGCCATCCTACACGGAAATCACCACATAAGCCACCAGACCTTCTTCTCGAGGCCTGAGCGTTTCGGCTTTTCCTGATACGTCACATGCCTCTTATCTAATGTTCTCATGCAAAATCGCATTACACTGTTCTGACACATAAAAGGCTCTGACAAAATATCAGACGTTTTGTAGCATCATTAATCGACATCATCGTGTGAGGAACGTACCATTCCAGCCTGGAAGGAGGCAGACTGGGAGACGGCCCTCTGTGCCACAGGCTGTGCCATAGGTGGAGTCGGTGGTGTTGTTGTTGAACAGCTCCTTGATCCGGCAGGCAAAAAAAAGACAGGCAACCAAAATAAGGTCTAGACAAACATCACAAAAGCACAGCCCTTTGCCATGTTTACATTTATCCACATTTGAGTCTTCCCCAATACACCACAGACTAGAATACTTTAATAATCAGACCCCCACCTATCTGGCTGCGATCTGGCGTTAGCGTTCAGACCGTTAGGAACAGATCTTGAGCTCCCCCTACTGGAGGCTACGTTGCCATTACTAGCAGTAGCATCCTGCGATCGTATCAAGGCAGCATGTCTGGAGGGAGAACAAGAAAAACAAAACCAGCTAGGTTAATGCTTAATCCGCAGCTCCAGTGGGTTTCCCCTCCTAGTGAGAGCGAAAGGGCAGCGAGTGGCCCTTACCCAGACTTGGATATGGGCCGGCTGTCAGCCTTGCAGTCATGGTCCAAAGGATGTCTGTGCCTGATACAGTAGTTTAAATGACACTGGTCACATGTCACCTTGATCATTTCCTTCTGCTTGCAGCCCCCCTTGGAGCATTTATTTGTAAAAATCTGGAGAAAGAAAAGTGAGGGCTAACTGAAAAAAAAAATCTAATACTAATGATCAAAAAGCCTTCAATACATTTATCAGAGACCTAGTACAAGAGTTGCAAAGTCAGGACCCAAAAAAACAAGATTATAAAGGCGGCAGTTTGAGATTTAGTCTAAGTCAGCAGTGAAGCATCACAGATGTTGAAGTTTGGTTGGTAACAGGGCTGCACAATATCACATTGGATTGTAATCTCAAATATATGGCGCATGCTCAATAATCACCAGGGCCTTAGATAACGGATGAAACATCTGCCCGGATAATGGCTTTGCGGTACAAGAGAGACATTTACTTACGCCCACAATTAGGTAAGCAGATTAGTAGTATGCCTAAAATATTAATGAGATGCAGACTGTGACGCCCAAAAGTTAGTGATCTGTATAAATTCAGTATATCCTTATATTTATTAAATTCGGTTAGCGCATGCTAAATCATGGAAGCAGTAAGCACTGGAGTGTCTGAAGACAGGGACAGCTCAACAGCTACATCTTTTAAAGAGGGGATATAAAAATACGTCGGTGGTGTAGCGGTACTTATTGCAATTTAAATCCGACAACAAAGATACACCAAATTTAGAATTTGGAATCTGGTGATCAGTGGTGATCAGTTTATACAGATTAACAACTTTTGGATCTCATTAATATTTTAGGTGTACTGCTAATCTTCTTACCAAATTGTGGGCGTAAGGAAATGTCCACATAGTACCAAAACGCCAGTGGTCGGACAAATGCTTTGCCCGTCATCTGAAGCCCAGGTGATTATCACGAATGCACAAAATATCATCGATATCGCCCAGCCCTAGTTGGTAAAATGATTAGTGTTCCCGTTCACTTGCAGGAGCCTCCATACCTTCTTCTTTCTCTGAGCCGGGTCCGACTTGCACTCCCGGTCGATGTGTTCTCCCACTTTCATATCCGGGATTTCCCCTCTGTTGACAGGGACGGGCATATTGCAGAGAGGGCATACAGGAACCTGGACGTCCTGTGGAGCAGAGTGCACCATGTCACACAAAACCCGACAAACACCCCCGACCCATCCTCAAACCCTAAAATAAAAGCTTACCTTCTTGTAAGATGAGGTGCACTTGTGGTTTATATAAGTGATGTGGTCTTTGCAAAAGATTTCTTCACAAGCATCACATTTCATGGGTAGAAAATCTGCCAAAGATGAAAATATTATGAAATAAGTTGGAACCAATTTGAACTTTTTCCTATTACAATTGACAATTTCGCTATCAGACTATTGCGGCATTCTCAGGAGCTGCTGGATAACCTACCCAGGCGCTTGCAAGACTTCTCCGAGCAGTGTTCCCCCAAATCTGGAAACTCCATGGTACTTTACTTTGTTACAGCCTCCTAACTGCAAAATAAAAGTAAAAAAGACTAATTCAATATACAGCATACTGCAATCAGCAAGTTGCTGAAACACATGCTAAAAATAGGCAAAACAGCACACTAATCCACTACACTACCGACAGTTAGCTAGGGCTAACTGTCATCACGCTGAGCTCATGGCTCTTGGCACAAATGGCAGCATCAACACTAACTTATTTCACAGACTCTATTGGTATATGTATATATTTGGCTATAGTTTATATCAAGTAGTTTAATCTCTTTGCTTTATAAATACTGCAATAATACTCATAGAACTGTGACATATCACACAGCCCTTCAGCCCTTAGCTCTCAAACCCCATACACAGGACCTGCAGATAGCTTCCTTTAACAGCTACATTACCTCTTGATGGGGGGGAGGGTGCGGTTACTACACATCCGTACACTGGTTTTAAATATGACCCTAACTGACAGACATCAGAACACAAGTGGACTAGAGCTGTCACAATTACTCGATTAAACTCAATTACTACAAAAGTATCGACTGAAATTGAATTAAAATGCAGTCGTCTCCAACTATTGTAAAGCAGAACTTAAATATCACAGAATGACTGCAATGCCAGGACATCTTAAAAGACGACATTCAGGAAAATAATAATGTGAGGACAACCAATGTCATTTAGCCTTGCGGAGTAGCCAAGCCTGTCCACCATCACATTGACTTAAATTATGTTGCTTTATTTACGTTATACGATTCCTGAAAATCAAAATAAATCGCTGCTAAAACAAAGGTCAGCCCCGTCATCATCTTACATAATACAGGGCTGCCAACTTTGGTCAGCTGGCTGGTGTGAGATCTTCAATTGGAGACAAGTCTGCACACGCATTTACTTGCATGCAACACTTATTACCTTGTAAATATTATGTGCGGTTTGCAATCTACTACCACACTTTACATGTAGGTAATTTGAGGTCTATAATGGAATAATATAGATGTGCTGCAAGATTTCTCGCGTGACCGTGAGAGTTTGAAAGCGTGAGTGTCGCGCCAGATACGCAAGAGGTGGAAACTCGCAATACATAATGCGCATGCAGAGCTCATGCAAAAGCAGCGGCAGTAAACTTTAGACTGATGCATTTATTTATGCTTACATATACTAGATGATTTTGAACAGGAATCATCATTAAAATAAAGCTTACCAAGTTCCATTTCCAGTGACAGAGTTTAAAAAAAGAGTTTTAGCGCAACTTATTCAAGCTTGAACCCAGCAGACCATGGCGGTCCTTGAGATGTGACAGTTGCATGTGCATGAAATGCCATTTGGATATTAAAATCACACATCGTGCAAGCCTGTCAGTGTGGCAGAATGGTGCGGTGGTGTATGTGTGGAGATTGTTCACCCTGCGTGGGAGCTTTTCTGCAGATCCTCTGGCTTCCTTCCACTGTCCAAATGCATGCAACTTCAATTTAGTGCACTTAAACTGATCGTATGCGTCACTGAGTGTGCACCCTGCAGCGGTTGATCGATTCCTTCCTCGCACTAATTATATCACTATATATTAGGGCTGCAGGATTTGGGGAAAATATCGAATCGCGATTTTTCTAACAGAAATTGCGATTACGATTTGATTTATTTTTTTTTTAATGTCAAGCTTCCGTTCAATATTCAGTGTGTAGTAATTTTAAAACATATGACGCAGCATGAGATACAATCAGTATTAACTGGTCTATATTCTAATGCAAGGATGAGAATTTAAAGATGTGATGTGTCAAGTTAAATAAAGTAATAATGAAAACAATTGCAGCAAAAACAAAAATAGCGATCTTGCAGGTAACGCTTATTACCATCCTAATAACACTAGAACCGCCTTTTCCCACGCCAATGAACAAGCAAGAACTACTTCGGTGTCGCTGATTCTATTGATGATAGGACCTTTCTCAAACAATCTCGGACCATGAAATAGGAAGGCAATTCACTTATAGCTCAGTAGCGGAATCAGTATTTTTCCGTACCGCTAATGTAACATTTAACTTGGGTTTCACGTGTTTGCTGTTTGTGGGCCCATACGCCTTCTTGGGCCACTTCTGATTGGTGAGCATGACTGGCAGGAGAGAAGCATGGTGCTTGTGATTGGTGAGAATGACTGTCACACAGGGAGCATGGCACAAATTTGTAAAACTATTCTCACAGCAGTTTTAAACCCTGGGTCCGACCTACTGTATAATGTATATCCTAAATCGCGATTTTTGCGACTTGCTAATCGCGTTGTTTCAAATCGCGATTTCGATTTGAAATCGATAAATCATGCAGCCCTACTATATATAAACGATTAATTGATGAATCGTCAGGTTAATCTGTAGATTACTAGATTATTCATATAATCGATATAGGGACAAGCCCTAAAGTGGACCTGCTCCTTCCCAACGTGTAAGTTTTCAACTCACTCCTGAGCGCAGTGTAACACTTTCTCCATGGTGAATCCCTAAGGAAGCACCGTTACAGAAAGACAAACACATATACTGTACGTGACATGGTAGTTCAGTGGGTAACACTGTCCCCTCACACCTACACACCATTCGACGTTCTCACCGTGTTTGTTGTAGGATTCCTCTGGGTACTCGATACTCATGGCAAAGTCCGGAAGCATGTAGTTTAGTGGAACCTGCGTCGGTGCGCGTGTATCAGGGTTCGTAAATTTAAAAAACGTATTAAATTCACCCTGTCCCTAAATCCATTTGGCATGCGAGTAAAAAAACATACAGTCTCGTCAGTAAAATCACAAATTTAACGTTGGCGACCCTTGTGTGTGTACCGAGATCGACCAATATCCTGTCCAGGCTAAGATAAGCACCACCAGGCTCTCCACTACCGTGTACTGGGTCTCCCACAAACACACCCAGTAACTCGAATAAGCAGTGCAGTTTGATTATATGCTCTTCTTATAGTTTCACCCATCAGTGTCAACATCAAATTTTGCTGACTCACACATTACCAAGGACACCACACACACACACAAACACGGCCGCCTGCTGTGTCGAGTCTCTCCTAAAAGCACCGCACTGTAACCTGAACTGGGCCTCCTTGACAGTTCATCCACAACGGTATCTAGCTATGGCCGCGAGCACACCGTCATTATGCGCTCCACTGCTTTTCTGTTACCAAGAACCAATCCGACCCGGAAAATGTCACCGATCTTTCAGGCCGCGGCAGCACCGACCGCGTCCAGAGTTAATCAAAAACGCTGTATCGAGATCTCAGCACTGACGTGGTTCAGGGAAATCACTTCTGTTTATCAGCGCCGACGCCAGCGAGCTGTTTCATATTCAACATGTAAAATCAATCGCTTAAACTCTGTCCGCTACCCCAAATCAAAAATACAGTATTTCTTCGGACAAAGTTCACTTTAAAAACCCTGTTTTAACCTTACTCACCGCAACACTTGTTCCCGACGCGAAGTTCAACTTCAGCTAATCTCCAAGAGTGAGTATTTATTACACCCGCCGTATAAATCACCACCGGCAGAAACGTCCACCTCGAAGAACATCAACAATATAATATGAGCGGCCGCTCCCTGCGTCTTACGTCGTCTTCCGCCGTAGACGCCCCTGACGTCATCACGCACGCCGAGAGCGTTGCAGAAAACAGAAAGTGGTGTGTCATTATAGATAAGCAATTCAGGTATAGATTGATTTAGTGTTTTCATGTTATATCTTACACCTTATAGCTTTCGGTTTGTTTGTACATTTAACAAGAAGTGTCTTCTACATTTTTGTCACATAATACTTTTCCTCATGTTAAATTCTCATATTACAAGCATATTTTTATATTTGTTAGTTATCTAACGTTTTATTCCTGGCTTAGAAGCAAGTGAGCAGCTGGAGAATTAAATGATATAGATTGTGTCAGACCCTGGTAACTCGCTGGGCCCCTGGGGTATTTTATGTGATAAGTTGGAAACCAAAAAAAGACAGTTTTGAAAACTTTAAAGTCACGATGAGGTGGCGCATTACACTATGACCAAGCAACTCAGGCAAAAGAAAAAACAATCAGTTCATTCCTCAAGCTCTACGCATGACTAACTTCTCCCAATGGCTTAGAAAAAGATATATCCTAAAACATACATGGGTTTAAGCAGTTAGCCAAACTGTACAAATGAACAAAAGTTAGCAAATAAAAAATCAGCAATTTCTGACTACTGATAAACTGCGAAACATGAAAACAGAGGGAAAAAACACCGGTAAATTGAGATTTAAACGGGTTTATTTAAAAAGGTTATTCATATTGTTTTTAAATATCAATGATATAATCACTTAAAAGGCATATTAAAGCGACATACACATGTGTCCCATCTTTTACAGCGTAGGGGTACCTAATAAAGTGGGCACTTTTGAGCACGAAATACAGGCTAGAGTGGATATCCAGATTAAATTGCTTTCTAACTGTATTAGATTTGCGTCGCTCCCATTTCGCCAGACGATGGCACCATAGGACTTTCATAGTTAATTCTGCTTGCACGTCAAATTCATTTCGGCAGGTGGAGGCGGAATTCCAAAATGACATTCGTCTGCGCAAATAGGGCCTCAGCTAAGCTTGATTAATAAAAGCCCCCCATCCCTATCAACGACATTTATCTTAGCCACTCCCTCCCCCCTCGATGACAATACTGTTGGAGAAAAGAGTGGCTATCTGACAACGCAAATACTCCAGGGGCCTCTGGAAATATGAATGTACTTCTAATTACAGCAGAGGTGGATAGTTCCGGTCCAGAAAATAAAAATCCAGACAAAAATTTCGTTTCAACAAACCAGTTGGATTCTCTGTGACTGTGACTCTTTATACTGAACTAGCTGGTCGAAACAAAATATTAGTCTGGATTTTTATTTTCTGGACCTGAACTATCCATCTCTGGGTTATAGTTATAAAAATGGATACAGTTACATGAAAGTATTGGTCTATGTTTTTACACAACCTTGGATGACATGGGATTTGTTTGTTTGTTTCCGTATTTGTTTGCAAGTCGTCCTGAAAGGCCTCTGCTTTGGTAAATGCGCAAATGATAAGAGAGAAGAAATAAAGATTGTTCACTGTTTAATGTTGTTTAATTTTATGTAATAACACAATAAAAATGTAATATATTAAAGATTATAATAGCACATTGATTTCCTACTGTAATTCATCTGGTTGGCACTAAATATGCTTTCGTAAGTAATTCTTTAATACGCTTCTGACCAATCAGACTAAAGAACTCAACAGTGCTGAGATAGAATTTCTATACTAAATATATAGACTATATATCAGGGCTCTTCAAATCTGGACCTCAATTCCAAATCCAGGCCATGTTTTCAGTTCTCCCACGCACTTAGTTTAATAGTTACTGATTCTGATTGGCCAGAGGCTTCACACCTGGCTCACAGGTAAAGGAAGGATGGAAAATCAGCAGTGCTCGGATTTTGAGGACCGTGAGTTGAATAGCCCCACTATATATAGAATTGCAGCAACGTGCTTGTGAATGCAATTAATCGGGATAAAAAAAAAATGATCACTGACAATCCTATTAACAATATCTTGGCTTATTTTTGAAATGATCTTGACACCACATCACATACAATGTTTTTTTTTTTTTTTAATAGCGACCTTCACAACGTTCCCTTCCCCCACATTGGAATTGTGTGGCACAGCATTACATTAACTAGCAGAAGTTGGGGCCCCCTTAGAAGTTGGTGTTCTAGGTCGGCCATCTTTCTCGCCTATAAGATTGACTGGCCCTGGATGATATTTTCACTAATTTTCACATATGAGCTGAAAATATCAAAAGGTGTGACCATTATTCATCTGGAGTGCTCTGAAAATTAAGATGTGGATACAGAATCGTCCTTACGCCATGCATAACTCCACCTGTGCATCAGTCACCTGGCACAAAGTCAGCATTAGCAAAGGCTGAGCAGAACCAAGATTTTATGAAAAACAAGTAATTATACAGTACTTCTGACAAAGGTATATAACATGAATATCAAGTTTAAGAGTTAGAAATATTACTAAAAATGAATCACTTTTGCTCTCATATACATATTCATGGGATTCATGAAAAGGGGGAGGATTGGATTAGAGTTTTTTTGGACATGCAGAAATGTATTAAGCTTGTCAGTCCAAGTCTGCATTACTTGTCGAGGTTGCTGTAGCCAATACATATTACTTTACAGTTACAATAAAATGCATTCCTAAATATGTCTCCTAAGAAATGTATTATCCAAATATACCCAAAATTATTATTCCGTATATTTTAAGAAAAATATAATTACTAATATTACTAATATAAATATAATTATTCTGTACTGTGGTTAAGTATTACTGAATTATTAGGCTTGTTATTGTTGTTGTTGATGTTGTTATTACATAGATTTCCAGCAATCCAAGTGGCCCTCATAGTACCTTAAAAACTACGCTAGGTAGGCCTAATTTATCAAAAACAAAAAAAACATTCTGGCTACCGATTACCGAAATGATTAATGGATAGCCGCCCATTTACCCATTTAGACACTCCTGCAGTGGGAGTGTAAAATGTCACTAAACACCTTCAGAGAGTAGCAAGAAGGTCCCTTGCTGTACGAGGTCTGGAGGGCCCAGATTGAAGACTGGGGGGGAGTTCCCTTAACAGAAGCACTGGGTACCTAAAGAGTTAATTCTCACGCCAGATGGCGCTTCTTAAGTGGCACCTGCTTTACCGCTGAGATGCTGTTATCCTGCTAAGACTCCCGCTTGCTTGAAAAATGGGACGATTGTAATGATTATATATATTCATTTCCTTCACGATTGTCAGGGAGCGTGTTTACTTTCAGGTCGGATTTGGCGAGGCTTCTGGCCAAGTGGAAGCAACTGTTCAGCATTAAAATCTCCTTCTGCTTGTGTCTCCCGTAATGACTGGAATGGCTCCTTCTCCACAGCGAGATTCCATTACTTGTCACTCACTTTGCTTTTCGTGTGGCCAGCTGTTTCTAAGGAATTCGCACTGACTTACTGTAATTTTTTTATTACTCCGATTTTTCAGCATCCACAAGAAACCGGGCAGGAGACGGGGCCCATCACTGCAGGGCGGCAAAATTTATACAAAGTGCCCCTTTCGATATCAGACGATCACGCAAACATTTACCGAAAACCGACCCCTCCAGGGACGACAAATTTTACTGGGGCTCCCCATGTTGTGAGACCTCTCTTCCGCCGCTGCACAAAAGGCAACAAAACAGAAATATTAAACATTTACCGAATTCATACGTAATGTGCGAAAAATATCTTTCGGTACGCAACTCGTGACTTGGGGTGAGAAATGTGCTTTCTGTGGCGATCAGCGGTATATCACGCGTAATCGTAATGAAATCTAGTTTTGAGTACTTGAGGCTGAATTTAGTTAAAGAAGCCGGTCCCTTCCTCTACATGAAATGAATGAAATGCTTTTAATCTAAATATAGAGTTTGTGAATTAATTTGACAACATCCACTCATCTGATTAATGTCCTATTTAAACCTCAGTTTATATACCTATACTGTAAACTTAAAGGGACCGATACACGTGTATATTAACACAATGCAATATCTTAAAAAATGACATCAGTGCTCTGCTTAGCTATTTTTAAAAATCGAAAAGTAAATTCGGCTAATTGGTGTCTAATCTGCCTGTAGAGTATGACTGTGCGCGTTTGTGTAAGTGTCCTGCTGGACTTGGGTGTAGAATGTGATACAGAAAGAGACTGAGTAGTTGTATACAGTATCTATTTCATTTGTACGGGCACTTGGTGTGAACTATCATGCTAAGTGTGAACTGTCCATCTTCTAAACGCTTTTGTTGGCCAGGGTCACGACTGGGGTTCACCTTGGGCAGGATGTCAATCCACCACAGGACCTTACAGCATGACGCAGCAACAAAAACAATAAGGGAACAAGACTGCCACCTGCTGCTCATAACCATGTAAAACTCCAAGAGTGGCTGTGGTGTAAAATGAATGAACTCTGCTTATTACTATTGATTGCGAATCAAAGCATTTAATTACTTATTAAATGGAATCAGTTTCACATTTAACTTTTAATATGCTACACAAACGTACACAAGTACCTTTTAAAAGAGTATATGAAGCGATCCATCAAGATCACATTTTCTATATTCTATTTACAAAACAAACAGTAAAAACAAATACTTGTGATACATATAAAGGTCTTACGTTACTTGACATGCAAATCCATGGATCGATGGAAGTTACTTAAATATAATTAAAATCCAAACTTCTAACTACAAGAAGATGGCAAACTTGTTAGTTGATGTTGTAATAAATTACTGTTGCCAGTAATTACCAACATAACAACTCGGAAGTGGTGAACGGAACAGGTTTTATTTTTTTCTTTAATTTTATTTTTCTTCTTTAATTATTTTCTGTAATATAAACGATTAAGGATTTTTTGTGCTTTATCGCATTTGTTTCGACCTCCATGATAATTGTACCTAATGGGCTGGTATCCCCTTTGCTTATGTTTGTCTAACTCTCCCGATAGAAGTTGTAAATGAACACCATAAGTCATTACATAACCACTGGAATAAT